ATATATATATATATATATATATATATATATATATATACACATTGCATATATACACATACACTTTGCTTTCACTTAACGGGGCAAAGGGCCAGTAATTAATGGTAGCAGTTACCTGTACAATATGCTACTGTTGGTGTCTCTATACAATCCCTTTTATTAAGAGCTCAACTGACTAATGAAAGAAAAAGATCTCATAAAGAACCTGAGATAATCCTTTGGGCCTCGAATGGCTCCATGTAGCTGCAGCAGTCTGTTGGTGCAGATTTTGGCTCCCAGTTTGGTCTGCTTCTGGGGTCTGGTCGGACATCAAATGGGTCAGAGTAGTCTGTGTCAGAGTCTGACGCTGCTGGGGCAGAGGGAACCACCTTTGGTAGGGAGAGAGAAACAAAGAGCATCGCACAAATGAGAGAGCTGGAACTATGAGTAAGCAAATGAAATAAAGAAAGAGTAAATGACTGGTGTTTCGCTCCTACTTCCTCAAAGAAAAATGAAGCAGAACACAAATAAAAACAGTCCTTACAGGTTCCTCTTGAACAGTCACAGGACTCAGGGGGACTTTACAGCGGCCAAACTCCTGAGAGTCCACTTTAATTAGTCTGTGCTTGGGAGACACCACTTTGACCTGGAACATAGCGTTATGTAAATCTTTCACTGTTGATTAAACATCACCTGAATACTTACATTCAATGGGAGATCTAGGAGAAAACACTGTATTATCCAAGGGTACACTTACACACAGAGACATCGTACTCGGTATTAAAAAAACAACTTAATTCCCGTAAATGACTGTAAAAACATGCATGTCATACCTCCACACCATTAGGCAGCACTGAACCAAATGCGGGGAAAGAGGGAAGGCTCACTGTGGCACTACAGGGGCTGAAACCGCCATTCTGATGCTCCTTATCAGAGTGCTGGTACGGGTCTTCAAAATCTAACTCCTTCTGAGCTCTGTAGGCCCTCAAAATCTCACTCTCACTATAATCCGGCCTCGGGGGCTGTGGAGGGTCACGCCTGGTGCCAAAGTTTAGGTAGTCCTTCAGCCACTTTGCCATGGATCTGGGAATGAAGAGTAATTCGGGACGACAAAATGCTGAAATGATTAGTCTAAAAGAAGCTTCACTTAAATGTTGTTATCCATTCATTTATCAGAAACATGTGTTGTTATTGCAGCCCAAACCTAGAGGGTAATTTCACTGGGCTCAGTTTATTTTCAGATGTGTTTATTTTCTTGGTCCCCGACATCTGTAACAGTTTTCGGTCCCATTTACATCTTCATATCCTCTCAGACACATGCATGCGACATCCCTTTTCCCCGTTGGACGCTGGTCATTTCATTATAAAAAAGATCCAGCTGAATAATCTTCCACTTTTTTTTTTTAAGTCTGTTGTTACAGGACATCTTTATTCTCTCATCTGCAAACAAACTTGTTCATGCTTTTCATTTTTCTGTATTTAATAATCTGGTCACTGTTTCTAACATGTTTTGTTCAATAACTGAGGGCTGAGATGTGGGTGAGGAAGTTAAATCTGTGTATCTGCAGTATGTGTTTGTTATGTAATGCTGTTTTGGTTTATATGTGTGTCTTTAAAACCCCCTTGAAAAATGAGATGCTGCATTTCAAGCTATCCTTTGAAGAAATTCAAATTCAAACATTTCATTGAACACACATGACCACAAGCCATCCTCTTGCATCAGGGTTATAAAAGGCAAACTCGCTGACTAATTACTAAAAACTAATTGCAAATTAATTGAGTCAAATGGCAAAAACTGTAAGCTTGAGTTGAGTTGTTCAAATCCCCCCGAAAAAAAAAAGAAAAGGTGTTCACATCAATCAACAGGTCCAGTGACAATCATTTCTCCTGCTTTTCCAGGTTAACACAGATGAAAGTGAAGCTGAACGTGGCTTTTTGTTGTGAACAGAAGTTAAACTCTGACAAACAAATGACAATAGCTGGTTAGCATTAGAGGCTAAACAATTCAATCAATCACTTATGCACAGCAGCAGATTTAAAGACAGCGTGTGCTTCAAAGCTGTCAGCAAAACGCTAAACAGCTGACTAATCTTGCTGTTGTTTATTTGTTTAAAAAAAGGCTAAAATAATGCGAGTTGTACAAGTAATGAAGTCAACGCTTTGTAAATATGCCAAAGCTAAGTTAGCCAAGTTAGCAGGACACCAGCTAACACGTTACTTCTCGAAGCTCACCCTCTTTCTTCACATTGACGGCTTCCCGTTCCAGATATGTCTTCCTTGTTACCATCCAGCGTTTTGTTTTTAGTTTTTAACGTTATCAGGGGTCTTAAAAATAAAACATTGTTATTGCTGAAATCCGTCCAGCTTCGGAGCCAAGCGGGTTAGTCGGCTATTGTTAGCTGGACCGGAGCAGACAGTCTCCGACACAACACTGGTTTAAAGGGAAGGGGGGGGGGGGGGATTTTTTTTTTTTT